GAGATATCACTTTATGTCTATTGGTGCCGTGCCTGATATTGCATGTTTTCTGTCCTCATTCTCCTTTACATTTACCTTTCCCGGATCAGTGTTCTCAGAATTGGGGACTGAGGACCCTTTCTTGTTGATCCCTCTTCCTACACCTTTTGTTCCTTCCATATAAGCATATATAGGAGGCCCAGTTTCTTTCTTTGTTGGTTACAGTTTGTTTAAATCGCACTGGCTAGGTGTTCCCTCCCACTGCAGTGTACTAGGGAGACACAGACCTGGGCAGCCTATGCTGAGCCTGCTCCTCCTAGTCAGTCAACCTGCTGAAGGCTTCACTGTATTAGGTGCACTGGCAGGAGCAGAGACCTGGTTTGGGTAGCCTACTTTGTCTTAGTCTGCCATGTCACCCAGGTCAAGCGCTCCCCACTAATCCTGTTTGAGAGGGGAATATGTGACTGAAGTCACTGCAATATCCTGTTCCAGCTAGTCTGCCCAGTCCCAGAAGGTCCTCTGTTGGAGTCTCCTTGTCTATGGAAGGGTCTCAGTTCCTCTCATTCACTGCAGGTCAATGCAGGGCTTCCCGCCAGCTGTACTCTCAATTTGGTTCGCTGATTCTCACTCTCAGAGTTTACACATCTCTATCCCTGCTGTGCCAATTCAGATGCTGCAGCAGCGGCAGGAAATTCAAACTGCACTTTCCAGAGGCCCGAGTTACAGCTCAGCACTGAGACTTTAGCTGTTCCAGTCCTAGCACCTGGACTGCATTTCCAGTTGGTTCCTCTCAGCTTAGTTTGTTCCTGGGGCAGCAGGGTATATCTCCCCCTGCTTAGGACTTCCCATACCACACCATTCCTGGAATCTAAGCTGGCTATCTCTGAGAGCCTTTATAGCTGCTGTTATCTATCCACCATGTCCTCCCAGAAGTCCCAGTCCTAGCTTTTTGAAGAATCTCTACACTGACTTGCACAGTGGTTGTTTCAGTATTCACTCCCACCAACAGAATCCTGTAGCAGGACTGAGGGTCTGTGGGTGAACACATGCTGTTCACCTCTTTGGTTGTGATGTGCAAACTGTCCTTGTTCCCTTTCTCTCTCTTCAACAATAGTAGCTGTGGCAATTTCTGTCCTCTTGACCATCTTTCATTGTCCAACCCCCGGTATTATTGGTTGACATTTTCCTCCAGACAAATTGATTGAATTTTCTTCCTCACGCCCTTTGTTTTCCCTTCAAAAACAAGCTCAGTTCCCGAAGTAGGAAGTGTCTCCATTTTCACAGGTGGGTCCTCTTCAGGCAGCTGAGGTTATATAATGGTCTCTTCTCCCTGAATACAGGATATAGCTTTTTCTACTTCACAGAAGACTAAATTTCAGGCTGTTCTATAGGCCTTGTAAGATTTTTCTCCATTAACATTTCTAGAGAGCGCTTATGTTTGCAGTGTGGTGAGCCCCATTGAAACTGCCACTCTATAGACTGGCAAAAAAGATCTTTTTCACTGATCTCACACTCTCCAACTTGCCATTTTGCCCACCAAGTCCCCAGTTTTACTGGTCATTTACATTCTCATTTCCAATTGCTGGGGCCTCTCAGTGAGGGAAGTGCTGCACTAGACTGATCACTGGCTCTGGGCACTGTGCTCCCTCAGATACTGTTCAACAGGCTTCTGCCTCCCCTGCCACCTTCCATCAGAGTACTTCTGCGTCATACAACAGTTCCTTTAATGCAGTACACAGTCAACCAATTGTTAAATAATGTCCTTCATGCATAATACATCATCCCTGAGGGTTACACCCCAACCATCTCTGGCAAAAGGCTGCCAATCATATGCCTCTGTGTGGCTCTCCATGTTGGATCCACATGTCAGTGGATGCTCCTTCCAGATTTATTTCTGCTTCTACCCTCCTTGGTGAAGCAATTGAACTTGTCACTGCTGACAGCTAGGGTAGTTTTAGGGTCCTTGGCTATCTGTGAGCACTTAAGACTGACAGTGGCCCTGCTTTTATACGAGTTGACTTCTTAATGGGTTGTAAAACTTTTCACATTTCCCTCACCAAATGAATTCCTACTAACTCTCAAGGTCAAGGAATTATTGAAAGTGTTCACTGTCCACTCAAAATTTGAAAACAATAATGAAAAAAGCCATCTTTCCTTACAAACATCACATCTCACAGTAGACTTCACTTGGCATTTGTCTTGGTTATCTTCGCTCATTGCTGAGACAAAATACTCAACACTTAAAATGAAGGGAGGAAAGATTTATTTAGCTCACAGTTTGTGGAGGTTTCAGTCCATAATCAGCTGGCTCCAAGGCAGGGTGGCAAGGCACTGGGCAACACTTCAAGGCAGCAGCCAGCAAAAGCCATAACAAAAGAGGTGAGAGAAAACAAAAACTCTTCTCCTTCCTTGTATTGTAAGCAGGCCACCTCCACCACCCAGGTGGGTGTAGCACTCCCACCACCTCTGTGTCCTTCTCTTGCACAGCCTGAGGATATCTACAAAGTAAGGATCCTGGCTTCTTGCTGAGAGCCTTATTGAAGGTTTTAAATTTCTCAAGTTGACACAATGTATCAACTATCACAGAATTATATACCAGTAGCTTTCTAAATGCTAGCAGAGATGGGACTACAAGCAATAGAAAGACAGTTCAATTGGGTAAAGGAAAAGAAGCTAGGAAGGGTCCTTTGGACAGGTCTTTACACTGGATAATGGAAAGGATTCAGCCCAGTACTTCATAAGAGGCTAAGGGTATGGTTGTGTGTTTCCAGAGAACACTGAAAACCCTATCTGGGTTAAAGAGCATGTTGTCCATGTTCATGAAGGTTCTAGACACAGAGGAGTTTGTTCCACCAAGCATGAAGCTGACATTCAGTCCTGTGGCAATGATACCTGAGATGCCATGCCACAGCTGGTAGACAAGAATGAGACTAGACCTGAGCCAGGGTCAATTAAAGAAATTATCACAGGATGCTCAGGAGATGGTAACCAAAAATGGGAATCAAAGGTTTGGGTAGATGCACCCTGATATTGCAAGCAGATTGTGCATTTTTTGTTTGTCTATTTGCCCTACCTGCAAACAGCTGTTTTTTATTTGAACTCAACAATTTTTTTCTCTGTACCTTTTTTCTTTTGCATTTTTGGATCATTTTTTCTAATTTAATTTGTTTTACAGATTTAAAATATATGCTTCCTAGTGCGTTGCCAGGTGGTTAAAATGGTATTAAAATTGTTTTTCTCATAGGTCATCAGAAATTTGTTAAGGTAACTAAATAGGGACCCTTTAGGGATGGGGGATTATTGATCAGGGCTCCCTTTGGTGAATAAAGGAGCAGCTTCCTGAGAAGAATCATATCGCAACCTTTGTTCATTAACGGGAGCCTCAAATGATCTCTATAGCCTTATGAGAGATACCCCAATAAATGTTATTAAAATATATTTTGTGATATGTTTACATTGATCATCATCAAAAGATTAAGTTTTCTAGAAATGAGGCAATAAGATTTTGTGGTTTGGAGATGCTCTGTTACAAAACCAAATTAAAAACAAAAGTTTTTATAGAGCTAGGATAATTTATTATAATTAATCTCATCGCGTACTGAATGCATGCCTGCCTTCAGATGTATAGGTCTTCCTACATGTAATTCTGCAGTTGTTTATGGTGAGGATGGATTTTTCACATTCATATATCTTCTTTTAACAAAAATTCATAAGATGCATATATTATGTATGTGACTGTATTCTTAGTGATGCATAGACATTAAGCAGTGCAGACTGTGTCACAAATTTCTTCCATGACAACCTATTAAAGCCAACAAGTTAGGTAAAATCTTCTTATGTAGTAGATAGAGATGACTGACAAAAAAGGCTATTTCATGTCAAAATTGAAACTTAGGTGTGTTACAAAAATGTCATCATGACTGCCATACTACAATACAATGTACAGCTTTTGATTTCAAATTTGCTGTGGAAAACTATATACCTGTTGTCTGGTAACAATCTACAGGGGTTCACCTACTAGAAAATCCATGCTTGGTAGGAAATAATGGCTCTATTTTATATTTCAAGGTACTTGATATTCAGATAAATTTGTAATATTAGCCTTGTTGCTATCATCAGAATGTAATATCACTAACTTTCTCTTCAGGATGTTCAACAACTGTGGTTTGGAGACCAAAACCAAGAAAGATAGATGGGCTAGGAAAACAGCCAACATTTTGGCACCAACTCTCTGAGCTCAATGAGGAGCCAGGATACAAAGAATCCCTGCTGTGACATCCTAAAAATTTGCAAGTCCTTGATCTTCTCTTTTTTTAAATCAGCATCAGGGATCGAACTCATGACTGTGGGCTTGCAAGGCAGGCGCTTATGCCACTGAGCTAAATCCCAAGCCCCTAAGTCCTTGATCTTCTGACCAAGGAGATTATTGGACCACAGAAGAAGGAGGTCAATGGTGAATAGTGTGCATAAGGAGAGTCACCAGGAGAGAAAAAACTCCCAAACATTCCTAGAAAGCAACTTACTCAAGCTATGGCCAAGATTCAATTAGAAGGCTGACACAGGAGAATTGAGGGGTGTTACTCATGGCCCCAGGGTAAAGCCTGGGGAGACTTAACTGACCTTGATAAATAGCAAAGAGTTGATTAATATACAGCTCACCTTAACTTGTCCTTGAACAGTCAGCAAAGAGTATAATCACAACATGTACAAAACAATACCAAAGAAATATGTTACCTATGAAAGAAATTCAAATGACTAATACCTTCTGACAACTGCAAGCTATACTGGTAACTGACTACTGTTATTGGTTAATGGGTTGTATAGGGACAAACTGCAGAATACAGGGAGCTGAAATCCCCTGGAAATCTTTGGCCTAAAAGAGTAAGTACGCTCAGAATATAAATGGTTCAAGAATGAGGTGGTCTTCTTCAGAGTCCTCCAAACACAGCTCCTCCAACTGCAGCAGACTGCCCATAACATTCAACTACAAAAGAGAAGAGAGGCAGAGATGGGGAGTGCCTGAGGCTTGAAATCAATCACATGAATTGGGCTAGAGCAAGGCCAGCCCCAAGAACACAGAGCATCCAAGGTGAGCCAGATAAACAAGCTATTCCAGCCCCAAAAACACAAGATGCTCAAGGCAAGTCAGGTAAAGAAGTCGTTAGGCAGAGGAATTTCTCCTCCCATCAACCTCTTGAGTGTATAAATAAGTGTACCGCAGTTGTTGGATGTTCTGTTTCTCCCACCAGGAGAGGAGGCTCCACCTGACCTCAGCTTTCCACATTTTGATTCTTGTTTTCCTCTCTTCATCCTCAACCATCCTTCTGAGAATTTCAAGAGCTGTTCTTGATGCAGTAAGTATGAGTTTGAGTTTGATAGTATAAGGATATTTAATGTGTACACATGAATACATATGCATAAATTAAAAGTAAGATTGTACACTGTTAAATAGTATACTACTTATATTACATACATGCATATATATGTTGATACTATCCTCAGTGGCCATAATAGAATGCTTAAATTTAGCACCAACATCTAGGAGACAGAACTACGTATGATTTCTGATTTTTTTACTTTTTTTTGTATTTTGGAGACAGTCTCACTATGCAGTCCAGACTACCTTGAAATTCACTTTGTAGGTCAGTGAGTTGGCCTCAAATTTGGCCTCAAATTCACAGATACCCTCCTACCTCAACCTCTCCAGTGCTCAGATTACAAGTATGGCTCATCAAGCCTGGATTTTTTTTTTTTTTTGCTTTTTTAAACTTTTAAAATTAAGTTTATTGGTATGATTTACATATACATAACGATCACATTCATCATTGGGAATTTTTATCTGTATGTTATGTATCTTGATTTCTCTTCCTTTTCCCAATCACTTCCCTTCTCTACAAACCTTTTTCCCTGCCTTATTTGCAAAGCTTTGTTTCCATGTTATTCTTCTTTTATCATTTTCATTTCTTTCCCCTTCCTTCCTTTCCTTCTCCATGACTTCTGACCTACTTTCTTTTTTTTTTTATTCATTCTTTGTTTCTCAATCTGCACTTTAGGCTAGCTTTGATTTCATTGTACTGTCCAGTGTGGTCGCAAACTCAAAGCAATCCTCTTGTCTCAGCCTCCCATGTCCTGGGATTACAGGCATGAACCACCACAACTGGCACATATATTATTTTATACTTCAAACAAAGAACAACTTTTAAGAATTGTAATTATATGCAATATCATTATAAATAAACAGATCAATAGTTGCAAATGCTCCAAGAAAGTGTTTTCCCTTTAATATTAAAACTATGGCAACCAAACTATACATAAGCCTAATGAGAAATAAAAGTGGATTAGACTCATGTCTACATTTCTTGACTATTTAGATAATGTGAAGTAGGTTTTATTATTTTGCAAATATCTGATTCTAAAAATGCCTTTATTGCGTGTAGGTTTCAAAGAATTTTCTGCAGTGACTTATCAGACTTTATCAGTATTAACCTGATTAAAGGAAATATACGTATAATATAAACTAATAAATTTCTCCAATTATTTAGACATTACCATCTATCTTCTAATAGAACCTACTATATAAATGAATGACAATTAGGACCAGTGTAACAGTCACAGAAGTTGGAGGAAAAACTGAAGCAAAAACTCTGCCTTGTACTAAATCAGAAATCAGATATCTTTTTCTTCTAAATCATTCAAATTTCATGATACAAAATACCCACCTATCTGAATTCACAAGATTCAACTATTTGAGTCACTTAATCTGACAGGTTAGGTTGCTATTTATTGTCTTCCTCTCTTGCTGAAACGAGCAACCGATAGGGAAAAGAGCTACTTATTCTCCTCGAGAAACAGACTTGCTCTGAAGTTTAGGCTGCCCTTGAGCTCAGTATGGAGCCCAGGCCATTTTTTTTTTCTTTTTAGAGTTGGGAGAATTTATTAAGTGAAAGGAAGCCTCTGTGTGAGAAGTAAAGAAAAGGGCCCAGAAAGTGGGTTGGCCATCACTAGGCCATTTTAGAACTCCTGCCCATCCTCCTGCCTTAGCTTTCTGAGGGTTTATGGGTGTGGGCCACAGGGATTCACCACCATGCCCAGCATTCTTACTCTGATTCCAGAATAAGAATTGCTTCAGCCGTCCGGGAGAACATGGCGGACAGACAACAGCAACTACCGGAGGCTCTCTGAAAGGCTCGGCTCAGAAGCCAGGAAAGATGCGGACTAAGGAGACATGAACCGGTAGAGATATGCTCTGCTGACTCAGGAACGAACTGGGCTGAGAGAAACCAACTTAGAATACAGTCCTGGCGCTAAAATAGGAACAGAAAAGACTTGGTGTGGAGGCTCGACCCCGCGCCATTGGAAACCGCGATTTGGGTTTCCCGCCGCCCGGCGGCTGACTGCCTCCACTGCGGCTCGGCAAGGAGAGACGCGCAGAAGCTCTGGGAACAGGAGTCTGCGAATGGAGTCGAAAACAGGACAGACAAGGAGGTGTACACGAAAACTGACTGGTGGCGAGGTGAGTGAGAGAAACTGACCCCCTACCACAGTTTGACTCCAGCGGAGGACTTTCTGGGCTCAGGCAGTCCTGTAAGAGCAGGGCACGGTGGCGACTCCAGCCACACATACCCATCTCGGACGGGATTGGTGAAAAGTGCCTGGCCTGTGTGACGCTGCGGGCGGACTCAGTAGGCTGGCCTAACCCAGATCCCAGAGCCTGACGGTGGCCCGGAGGAGCGACTGACTCCCGTGTAGGCTGCCTCCTCCGCAACTCCCTGGTGCGCAGCGGTGGACAGGAACACCTAGCCAGCGCAATTTGATCAGGCTGTGGCTGACAGGCAGGGAAGCCGGGCCTCCAATGTAAGCTTGCATTTTATAAGGAACAGAAAATATGGGGAAGGGAAGCAACAAGAAAGGCTCCTCGGCCCCCAATTCTGAGAAACAGGCAATAGTGGACACCGCACCAATATACATTAAGCGCCATATAGAGAGCCTCATAGACCAATTCAGGAATGAAGTTATCAACGACCTGAAGCTAGAAGTATGCAGAATAGTTAGAGAAATGCTAAGCACCACCCAGGAAAAAACAGATGGTGGAATGGAAGAACAGAAAAAGAGGGGAGAATTGCTTGATGGAGAAAACAGAGAAACCATTGAGTATGTGAAGCAGGTTCAAAGGGACTATCAAGAAATTAAGAAGTCTATTCAAGACTGGCATAACAGCTTGAAAGAAACTAAGGACAGACTATCTGAGCTGGAGGGCAGACTTGTAATATGGGAGAATGAAATGAAAAACTTCTTAAAAATAACAAAGAAACAAACAGCAATAATACAAAGACAAGAAGATGATAAGAGGAGCCATAACTTAAGGATTAAGAACATAAAAGAAGAACAAACAAGTGAACTACAAAAGCTACTCACAGAAATAATCCAGGAGAATTTTCCTAATTTAGCAAAAGGTAAAGATACTCAGATGTATGAGGCATACAGGACCCCAGCTACCTACAACCCTAACAGAGAAACACCCAGGCATATAATAATAAAAATTCCAGAAATTCAATACAAGAACAGAATATTAAAAGCTGTAAGAGACAAGAAACAGACCACTTGCAAGGGAACACCCATCAGAATTACAGCCGATTTCTCTGCACAAACCATCAAATCACGAAGAGCATGGGGGGAAATAATTCAAGCTTTGAAAGATAATAATCTCCATCCAAGATTGAGATATCCTGCACAACTGTCCCTGGAAATTGATGGAAAAAGGAGGTGCTTCCAGGAAAAAGAGGAACTGGGGGAATCTGCAACCACCAATTCAACCCTACAGAAAGTATTGCAGGATATTCTAAAAAAAGAAAAATACAAAGAACCCAGAAATAGTGGCGGGGAGGCCACAACGAATGGAGCAGAGAACAAAATGAAGAAGACAAACTGACAGCTACTGACAGAAAAAGAGCTCAACAGAAATGAGACAGAGAAGATTGGATGATAGGAACAGCTATTTTGGAGAAAATGACATCTTAATAGGTAATACTGATTTAGTACCATCTTGTTTTGAAGTCTCATCTAGCTTTTGTTCTTCTGTCTCCAATGGTCTAAACAGGTTGTATCTTATTGGATTTTATTATGTACGATAGAATAAGCAAAAACCTTTTAAAGACAAGGAGATTTTACAGAAACCATTGTTCATTTTCTGTTAGTCGATTCTAAATACTCTATAATGCTGTCATTCTCTTAAATGGTTTTACATTGTTTTGATATACTTAATGCTACAGTATATGAAGTTGTACTCAAGGACTTCAAGGAAAGAGTCAATATGGTAACTACTTTTGGGTCGGAATTATCTGGTGGTGAAAATGTTTTGATCTGCCCTATTTCGCTGTTATGCCCTCTTTTTTCTCAATCTCCACTCCATTATTTACTTTTTTATTTTTATCCGTTTAATTAAAGGGAAAAAATAGCAGGATATAATATAGTAACCCACTTTGACTTTCTATTATCTCGATTTGAAGCCCTGTATTACTCTCACCATCTTGTTTTTGACTGAGGTTCCACTATTCTGTTTTGCTGGATAGTATCAGGTTCGAAAGTTTAGGCATCAGCTGAGAAGATAATGAGATTCATTATAACACCCATTCTCGTTGACTTTTATCTACTTTTGAAGACCTACAATGTCTCCAATGTTTTGGTTTTGTCGGTTTTATTCTTTACTATTTTGTTCAATTGTATTACAACTAATGATATAGGCAATTCTATTAGAGATAGCGGGAGGCATTATGGTAACCATTGTTGATCACCTTGTATTATGTTTTTATATTATCTATTATGTCCACCCTTTTGACTTGACCGATTCTGTCCTGTTATGTCTCATTTGGTTTTACTCTCTTCCAAAAAAGCAATAAGAACCGTGGGAGCAATGAAACCCAAAATGTGTAATAGTCATTGTACAAAAGAGAGGAAAAGAAAATGCTCTAAACTATATAACTGCATGTATATTTAAGTGTATAAGATAGAAAATGATATCACAGAGTTTTATTGGATCATTGAACAGAACTGTTTGCAGTATCATTGTTGGAATGTCCACTCTACAAGCTTTAATTTTGTGACTTGAACAATTATGTCTAAGATGGCAATATGTAATCCATTAACTAGTGATTTCCTACTGCGCATTTTTTTCTTCTGTAAATCTGTATAACTTGTACCCCTTCACTGTTTTTTTTTTCCTTTTCTCCTTAAATAAAAAAAAAAAAGAATTGCTTCAGCCAAGCAGGAAGGAGTCTCAGTTTAAATGCTCTGGGTATGTTTTTTCATTAAAAGCCACAGCTCACTAACTCAAATAGCACGTTGACAACCTCTTGAAATCCTCTTTAATGGCTTCCACAGTGTGTGATAAATTCAGCTACAAAGCTGAACTCTACAACGACCAAGAAATTCAATGAAAACTTGGGTACTTCCACTCAACAGAGACTCCAGTTCAGCACTAACAGCTCAGTTACTTTGGGTGAAAATCATCGAACAGAAAGAGTGAGCTTCAGTGAACCTGCATATGATGTGCATATCTGTTTTTTGCTTGGAGGGAGGAGGGCAGGTCAAGCACTGCAAAGCAAGGAAAATGTCTTCAAGAGGAGGACCAAGGGTCTCTGAGAAGAGTGAAAGTCTGAGCTCTGACCTGGTAGAAGTGAGACCCTGTGGTGGTCCGAGAGAGTGCTGCACAGAGAAGGAAATTCCAGTTCCCAGGCCCTGAAGTGGGAGAAGCTTAGTGAGAGAAGAGGACCAAGAAGGCCCTCATGACCAGAGCAGGAGATGTGGTCAATGGACACAGGAGAAGGCAAAGCCAGGTGAGTGCAGTCACACAGTGATCGTCAGGACACAGGAAGACTGGGACTCAGACTCTCAGTCAAATGGTAGCCACTGAGGCACTGAGAGTACAGAGTACCCTGAGCTGACACCTCGTGCTGTGCAGAGACTCCTCTGCCTGCAGTGTGGGGAAGAGACTGCAGTGGGGTAAGGAGCAGAAGCAGAGAGACCGAGGACTCAGAAGCCACAGGTGTGGGGATTCTGGATCTTTTGGAAGCTGGATGAAAATGGACCCGTAGAGTCAGAGCAGGGTGTGAGGAAGGAGAGGGGAAGATCATGTGGTTTGAACAACACCGCAGATCATGATTCACTTGTTGAGAGGAAGAAGGCTCAGGAAAGAGCAGTTTGGGGTCTGCATATGAAACGTGCCAGGGGCAGTGTCAAGCAGATGGAAGCCTGGAGCTCAGGAAAAGAAGAAAATGGGAAAACAAGCTTGCACTCGCCAGCAGGTAGACTGTGCACAGGGACCTGGGACTTCCTGTACGATCTAAGGACAAAATGGCCACCTGTTGATGTTGGAAGCAAGGGCTGTCACTCAGGAAGCTGGAATACACAATTGTGGGATGGCAGAAGAGGAATTCTGCGGGAAGCTCAGTCACAGTGGTTTGTGCTTATAGTTCCAGGTATTGGAGGCTGAAGCAAGATGATTATTTCAGTCCAGGAGTTCAATTACAATGTGGACATTGTCATCTGAAAAAAAGATAAAAGAGGAGAAAGATGAAAAAGAAGACAAGCAGAAGGAGCATGAAAAGGAGAGGAATTTTGTGTAGCTGGATGGAAATTACCCTTACAGGAGCCTAGGATGTACTCACAAAAAGTGTATGTGTGTTCTTCTCATGTGTCTGCATGTCTGTGCATGTCTGTATGAGTGTAGAGACATACACTTCTCATGGCTCTGTCTCATGACACAGTCAAGCCTCATTATTTTTTGCAGGGGTACTGGATTTAACTCAGGACCGTACACTTGCCAGGCAGGTGCTTATGCCACTTAGCTATATTTCTAGCCCATGATGAAACAGTCAAAAGGAAACAGACATCACAGAGGTCCTGCCCATGACTTCCTGTCATAAGCAGGGTCTGCCTGGGATGAAAGTCCCCTATTGGATGCTGCCTGTTCTGTTTGTGTGGCTGCAAAACATGCTGGTGGTCAAGCTCCATCCCTAACCAACTGAGAGCCTTCGGATGAGGAAATCACTAACTGCCAGGACCAGTGAGATGGAGTCCTCAGCCACCACGCAGGCAGGGTCACAGCTGGGCTGCAGGTAGATCTCACACAAGCGCTGGTGTAGGTAATGTCTGAGGCACCAAGAGGAGAGTGACACGAGGAAGTTTTGCTGTCCCTGCCAAAGCTCTGAGGACAGGAAATGGACTTGGCTCCCTGTCCTGCATGCCTAGCACCAGGCTTCTACAGAGAGGGCTCTGTGTGCCGGGCTGCTGGTGGCCATCTGGCCCCACCCTGGGAGTCTGAGATACACTGGATACTCCTTGTTTACCCACTAGAGAGACCTAATTCTTGGGCCAAACGCCAGCTCTACATGCTTATTCAGGTCCTTTCCAGGAGCTCTGACTCACTCTGTTCTAACCACACTGGCTGGGTGTGCAGTTGGTGGAAAGAGTTTGGTTTCTGGAACGGAGGTATGGGATAGGTAAGCATGTGGGGGAGAGGAGGCCACAGGACTGACTGGAACCTGGACTCTCAGAGCAGTGCTGTGTCCTTGCCCACCATTCTGCCTTCCCTATCACCAATAAAACCTGCACAACCACAACCTCCACTCTGGGCAGTTCTGGTGGGAAGGCCTGGAGCGTGTGGGGGGACAGAGAGGACAGAGGTTCCCAGCTGCCACTCCATGTTGAGGACAGGCCAGGACCCTAGCTGGGAGCCAAATATAGTGACATCTGGCCCCAGCTAGAGGGGCCTTTCTCCTCAGAGTAAGCCTATTGGTGCCTGCCAGAGTGTCTCATCATCTCTGCCTTCGTACATCCACAAGGCTCAGCAGCCTGGGCCCTGCCTGTTACCTGGGGCCTTGCTGGAAGGGAAGGACCCGTGGAGAGAGAGAGAGAGAGAGGTGTGGACACCATAGACCTTAGGGTCATGAGTGGAGGATGAGCTCTCCAGCCACCTGCCTGGGCTCCAGTCCCTCCTCTAGCTGTAGGACTTTGCTCAAAGACCCTCTGTGAGCCTCAGTGGCCTCAGCTGTGCTAACAGTGCCTACCTCAGAGAACAGATGCAGGAGGGAGAAGCACATGTGGAATGCTGCAGGGCCGGGTCTAGAAGCGCTGTGTAAGCCTGAGCGATCCTGACTGCTGTGGAATCAGCCACGTGGACAGGAAGTCCAAGCAAACATGAGGAGAGAAGGTGCTGTCCTTCCTCTTGCTGATGCGCCTCTCTGCCTGGCCTGACTTTGGCACTGTGTCCCTCTCGGCTGAGACTGTGATCACAGGGGTTGAGGCAGTGCCTGTCATCTGGGAGCTTGGCTCCCCCTAGGCCCCGCACACAGCCCACCTGCCACACAGACAGCAGAGTGACCTTAGAAGGGCCGTGATCCTTTCCCCATGTGTGTCCCTCAGTCTCTCCACTCCTGCTGGGTCCAAAGGCAGACTTGGTTCTCCTCCTACAGCTGACTCATTTCTGGTGTACAGGGAGAAGACTTGAAGAGCTGTTCACACTCTGTCCAGGGTTCTGGGGACCTGGCTTGTTGGACTAAGCTTAGATGTCCCTAAAGCCACACAGAGAGCCAGAGTTGCTGATAAGGGATTCTGCTGCATCAATATTTTTGGAGTTCCATTCAGAATAAGTTTCCCTGACTCAGGGATTATCTGTGGCTTGTAACAGTCCAAAGGCTGTGCAAGTATGTTTTTCGCCGTCTTTTGGCGACTGAGAAGAACTACATGATCCCAGAAAATCAAGGTGGCAGCCCTTAAGGTTCCCACTGGCTCTAAGGGAGACCCCAGCCTTAACACTCAGTTCATGGAGGGCATGAAAACTGCCCATGTTGAGGGGCTGGATGCACTACCCCTTGCTTGTCTCCATGACCTAGAGGGAAAATGTGACTCAGGAAGCACCAGGGCCCCAGCTGAGCTTCCAGACTCCAGGCTGTGGTAAATGACTACAAAGATTATGTCCAATATAGCCCGGAGTCAGAGGAAGCTCACTGCACTTTCTTCTGCCCCAGTGCATTATGGCCCACCATATTCCCCATTCTCACACGACCAGAGTCCTTAGTTTTTAGTGACTGCTATAGTGCATTCTAGGGGACACATTTACTATGTTTCTGTCACTAATCACACTAGTGTGCAATGTCCCGGGCCTGTCCCATGGGAGGAAGCCAGGCTGCCTCTCCCTGTTGGAAAACTGCTTGCTAGTTTGGGAAAGGTCATCCCCTTTGCCATACTGGAAACCTGCACTGGCATCTTCAGGCCCGTCAGGCCCCACACACACCTCAGGCCTTTCTGCTGCTCACCCAGATCTCCCTGCTGCTGACCTCCTTCCAGCTCTGCCCTTCACCTGAGCTCCTCCCCAAAATCTTTTCCTGGAGACAACTTTCCTGAGAACCTGCTGTTATAGCAGAGGAGGGTCCTGTCTCCTCACAGCTATCAGGATGCCCAAGACCTTTGAGGTTTCCCCTGGCCCAGGCATCAGACATTTTAGGCTGGACCCAGACATACAGATGACTCCGAGAAAGAAGACAGGAATTCTGCACATCGAGGTCATGCTGTTGCCAGACTGGTACATCCACATATCCACTCCAGGATGGAAGGAGGTGGGGACAGGAATAACAGTGAGACCTAACTGGGACCTAAGTGGGGCTCGCTCTATTATTACAGTGGAGTTGAGATTATTTTAGCTCCTCTGCCAGGCTCAGCATGCTGGGGCTTTTAAGATCCTCATGGGAATGGAGATGGGTACTTCCTACATTTCATTTAATTCTGGTCAGGGCAGGCCCAGTTTTGGAGTGGCCTGAAAGGTGGGCTGCCCAGACCAGCCTCTTAGGTTCCTATGCATGAACTCCTGCTTTTCCCAGATCCCTATGTCTTCTAAGCCTTGATGTTAAGGTGTGGAACATAGAAAACCAAGTGCACATCTAATTGAACGATTTTTTTCCCTTCCCTGGCAGACACAGCAATATAGAAGGAGCAGCACTGATCAGCACCAAGAGCTTCCTCAGCTCACAGCTCACGTTAACCCCTCTCCAGTAGTGCTCACCTGGTCATCAGGAAACCTCCGAACTCCTCCTCCCCAAGCCATCAACAGCACAGGTGAAGTAAAGCAGACTCTGTAGCCCTGTTGCATATTGGTCTGCGTCGCACTTAAAATAGCACCTCTGTTACTGGCCAGGTAGAAAGTGAGCCACCAGGTACCCAGAGGGAGCTGGAGTGTGCTGCTAACAGCCAGGGTAGAGGCGAGCAGTGCAGTGGCCCAGGCTGTATGGAAACTTGAAATCCTGTTGCCTCCTCTTTCCAGAGTGCTAGAGCTGCAGGTGTGTGTACCCTCGCAGCTCAGGGTAGTATTTTTCCAAAATTTAAGCTGACCAAGTCCTTTTCAACTGCATGGGGTAAAAGAATAAATATTTATTTCAAGATTAAAACTGATATTTTCAAAATTTCTCCTTAAATTAGTAATAATAAAAGTTCACTAAAATACTAATTTAAAAATAGGATACACAAACTCTCCTCATTTTAAATAGTATTAAAGACATGATAAATATTGATGAAATGTATATTATGTACAACTGGTTCCGTGCATTAAAACCAAAACCAATAAACCAGCTTTGGTACCACGCACTTTTATTCCTAGCACTTGGCAGGATTTGAGGCAGGAGGATTGCTGTGTGTTGTGAGGCCAGCCTGGACTACGCAGTGAGTTCAAGGTCAGCCTGGACCCTATATCAAAAAATACTAACATAAAAACGAAGAGAAATTCATATCGAAAGAAAAAAATTGTTTATTTTTTCAGGCAAGGTCTTGCTATATAGTTCAGAGTTGCAGTGAATCCACTTATGTAGCCCAAACTGGTCTTGAAATCATAGCGATCCTCTTGACTCAGCCACTATCCCCAGCTCACATTTCCTTGTGTGAATTGCAGAATGCAAATTTTTCAGAAGGCACAAATGCTCTTCTATTTAAACTTCTATAATGGCACAAATTTACACATAAACCCACAAGATTATGATACTTAGCCACAGGCTGGGTGACACATAACTTGGGACACAGCACACTGCACTGCCAGTTTCAGGAGAAGGACCACCTTCTGTCCCCAGGCAGATCCTGCTGATGACAGGCCAGGCATGGCCCAGGACCTCCTTGCTGTAGAGTGAGATTTCTTCTCCTTCAGACCATTAGAAGGTCTCACTTCTCCTGCGCATCCTGTATAATTTCTTTAATTGACCCCGGCTCAGGCTAGCCTCATCCTTGTCTACCAGCTGAGGCATGGCATCTCAGGCATCATTGCCACAGGACTGAACGTCAGCTTCTTGCTTGGTAGAACCAACCCCTCTGTGTCTAGGACCTTTATGCACATGGACAACATGTTCTTGAACCCAGATAGGGCACTCAGTGTTCTCTGGAAACACACAAACATACCCTCAGCCTCATATGAGTATTGGGCTGAGTCCTTTCCATTATTCAGCGTAAATACCTGTCCAAAGGACCCTTCCTAACTTCCTTTCCTTACCCAGTTGAACTGTTTTTCTGTTGCTGTAGTCCCATCCCTGCTAGAATTTAGAAAGCTACTGGTATATAATTCTGTGATAGTTGATACATTGTGTCAATTTGAGAAGTTTAAAATCTTCAATAAGGGCCTCAGCAGGAAGCCAGGATCCTTACTTTGTAGATATCCTCAGGCTGTGCAAGAGAAGGACACAGAAGTGGTGTGAGTGCTACACTGCCCTGGGTGGTAGAGGTGGACTGATTACAATATAAGGAAGAAGAGGCTCGTTTCCCCATCCTTTTATTATGGCTTTTACTGGCTGCTGCCATGAACTCTTGCTCCCTGCCAACCTGCTTGGAGCCAGCTGATTATGGACTGAAACCTCCACAAACTGGGAGCTAAATAAATCTTTCCTCTCTTCATTTTGAGTGTTGTGTATTTTGTCTCAGCAATGAGCGAAGATAACCAAGACAAATGCCAAGTGAAGTCTACTGTGAGATGTGATGTTTATAAGGAAAGGTGGCTTTTCTATTTTTGTTTTTGAATTTTGAGTGTTCGGGAACCCTTCTCACAATTCCTTGATCTTGAGGGTTTGTGGGAATTGATGTGGTGAGGGAAATGTGAAAAGTTTTACAACCCATTAGGAAATCAACTCTCATAAAAACAGGGCCACTGTCAAGCTTAAGTGTCCACAGAAAGACAGGGACCCTAGAAGCACCCAAACAATGAGCAGTGAAATGTTCAGTTGCCTCAGCAGGATAGGTAGAAGAAGAATAAATCCGGAGGGAGCATCCAGTGACATGAGATCCAGGATGGAGAGCCACACAGAGGCATGTGATTGGCAGCCTTTTGCCAGAGATGGTTGGGGTGTAGCCCTCGGGATTAACCTCCACAGGGAGTAAGAAAGATGTATTATGCATGAGGAACATTATTTAACAATTGGCCGAGCATGTTCTGCATTAAAGGATCTATTGTATAACGCAGAAGTACTCTGATGGAAGGTGGCAGGGGAGGCAGAAGCCTGTTGAACAGTATCTGAGGGAGCACAGTGCCCAGAGCCAGGGATCAGTCTAGTGCAGCACTTCCCTCACTGAGAGGCCCCAGCAATTGGAAATGGGAATGTACATGACCAGGGAAACAGGGGACTTGGTGGGCAAAATGGCAAGATGGAGAGTGTGAGATCAGTGAAAAAGACCTTTTGGGCCAGTGTAGAGAGTGGCAGGTTCAACGGGGCTCACCACACTGCAAACATAAGCGCTATCTAGAAAGAGGCTAATGAGAGTAGGGAAAACATCTTACAAGGCCCGTAGAACACCCTGAAATTTAGTCTTCTGTGAGGTAGAGAAACCTATACCCTGTATTCAGGAAGAAGAGGCCATTATATAACCTCTGCTGCCCAAAGAGGACCCTTCAGTGGAAATGGAGACACTTCCCACTTAGGGAATTCCACAGCCACTATTGCTGAAGAGAAAGAAACGGAACAATGACAGTATACACATCACCAAAGAGCTGCGCAGTATGTGTTCACCCACAGACCCTCAGTCCTGCCACAGGATCCTGTTGGTGGGAGTGAACACTGATACAACCACTATGGAAGTCAGTGTGGAGATTCTTCAGAAACCTAGGATTGGAGGCTCCATTTGACCTACCTATTCCCCTTCTGAGTTTCTTTCTAGAAAAATAAAAAACATCCTACCACAGAATTATATGTGCACACGTGTTTATAGCAGCACGATGTGTCAGAACTAGATTTTGAGAACAACCTAAATTCCCATGCACTGAGGAATGCATAAAAAAAATGTGGAATTTTTTATACAATGGAATACTACTTAGCCATAAAGAAGAATAGTTAAAATAGTTATATTACTGATTTCTCAAAGCTTGTACTAATACTATTCATATGACTAAAGGCAGAAGCCTTGTACTCTGAATAACTGAGTTGAAGATAAGAATACACAGTACATGTACCATTGTTACCCCCTAATTATCGTGCTTGAAAATTTTGGGTTTTTCTTTTAAAATAAAGTTTTATGAAGGAATTTTTTTTTTCATTTTCATTTTTATCTGTACTGGGGATCGAACTCACAACTGCCTGCTTGCAAGGCAGGCGCTTATGCCGCAGAGCTAAATCCCCAGCCCTGATTATGACAGAATTTTTAAAAAGAGCTGAGTAGCACGTGTTCACCCACATGCAATCAGCCCTACCAAAGCGTCATAAAAGGCACCAACAGTTTTATATAGAGCATGTGCCATGTGTTGCTGTTGCAAAGGGCCCTGAGACTGCCAAAGGATCCTGGTGGATATGTGCTGAGTTAGGGAAATAATTAAAAACATTATTGACTATGGGTCAATAAAGAGAACTGTACATTAGAGAGAACCAGGTTAACACTGTCCAAGGTGGCCTTAGCCTCTGTTGTAAGCAGAGCCGTAGGGGCCTGGCCTCCCTTGACAGTATCAAAAACAAGGCCTAAATCATGAGCAGTTAGTTAAGGGTTGGGCAGAGACATTTAATGTTGCCTCGCAAAGTCAAAAAATCAGTTAATGTTGCAAGACAGTTAACCTGCATCTGAAGAGTGTGGGGCACAATGTGTCTCTGTTAAATAAGGTCACCCAAATGTGAGACGGTGCCGTGGTTTGCACCTTTTCATGGGCCACTATCAGTGCATTATGAAGGGCATCACCTAAAAATTGCAGACATACTTGGTGCAACGCGGACAAAGATTCATATGCTAGAAGAATGTCATCCATGTAACGAATAAGATAAACAGATGGATCAGCCTGACTGACAAAATGGCTGCAGTAACAGACTCTCGACATACAGTAGAACTATTTACCTTCCTTGTGGTAGGCAACACGATTGGAAAGGGCTCACAGGGGCTTGACGGTTAGGAAAAGGTAAACTAAATACTAAGTGGTGTTTATGTTGAGGATGGACAGGGAATGTGAAAAAACCAGTCTTTTAAAACCAATCCACATGAAGGAAGAATGGGAAGAGATAACTAGGATACTGGGCAATCCTGGTTGAAGAGCTCCCGTAGGTTCCATGGTACGATTCACAGCCCATAAATCTTGTAATAACCTCCAATTCCTGACTTCCTTTTTATCAAAATTGGAGTATGACAAGGGTCATTGCAGGGTTCTAGGTGCCCTGCAGTCATCTGCTCATTAGCCAGTGTGTGAGCTGCTTCTCCTGAGTGAGGGGCCATGGGTCAACCTAAACAGGGTTTAGGTCATCCAAGTGATCTTGAATGCCATTCATGGGGTCACTGAAGAGATCAAGGCCTCTCCTGAAAATGTGAAGTAAAATAACCTATGCCAACACATAGATTTTTGGGGTCTACTGGAAGGAGTTCTCTCCCTCCATGATGGTATTTACCATGCCCTTCAGTAGGGGAGCAAACTTGTCATAAATCTGTTGAAACTCAAGGAGTTAGGACTGACCAAAAATGGCTCCATATCCTATATACATCACAACCCCATAAAGTAAGTGGCATATGGGAAAGAACATGAGTTGAGGCACGTCTGGAATGCACTTCTGCATCCCTCCAGGTTAACAATTTAGCACTTCTGCTAGGATAAGAAACACTGCACACCTCTGGCAGATCTGAAGTTGCTACACTGCCATGGCCAGTGACATTGGGCAGCAACTGAAACATCTGCACCTGAGCCTGAAAGCCCTTTGCATATTTCTGCCTCAGTGATGAATTCCATCTAGGAATGATCTTGTTTAACCTGTTGAACCCAGTAAGTATCAGAGAACCCAAAAACACTTGGACCTTCTTTCCTTGTTCATAGATTCTCGAATGTTTGTCAAAGGACAAGTAACCAATTGAGCAACAGGAGAGTCTGGGATGACTTGAACAGTGCACTGAATCCCTGGAACCCTAACTGTGATCTTCCCTGTACACTCAGCATCCGTGATATGAGGCAAAACCTGGAGACCTTTCAGTGAGACTTCTGTGGCCTAGCATGAGTCTCATTGTCCTTTAGAGTGAAGGTCCACAAACTCCAGGAGGAATCCCTGGGCTCTGATTTCAGCAGTTAGTGTGAATCTTGAGGAGAGACTGAGGTCCAAAGCTCCACTGTTTTTATTGTTCACCGAATTCAGAAATGGTCTTCACAGTGGAGAGCAGGTTTGGGGAGGAAGTAGAGAAAGGACTCCAAGTTTTTGGTGGAACCAGGCCAGGCCCTGCTGAAAGTTTCATGGAATGGGTGAGTCCTCCATATCAGCTTTGAATCTACACTCAGTGGCCCAAGGATAGCCTCATCTACACTTTGGACACATATTAGAAGGTTTTGTTGAAGGGACAGCTAATGTCTGTGCTGCCCTTACAGGTACAGAGGAGCACTTTTGAGGAGATGTCCGTGCCTCTGCAGCGGGAACAAGCAACCTTATTGTTTCCTTTTCCTCTAGGCTGGGGATGAGGGATAGCTGCTGTCAAGGCAGCCCCTTTTACATATGAGGGACCAAGACAGAAATCCAAATCATCTCAGACACTCTAACTCCCTTTTTTGTCATCTTAAACCTCTTCACACCATTTACTTTCCTTGTCAAAGGCCAATTCTTGAATATTAACGTGCCAGCATCTGTGTCATTCATAATCTTCTCTCTGGCTTGCTATTAGAGTGCTGGGAAATTCTGGAAAAGTTCATTGGGACCCTGGCAAATGGAGGTCCAACCAATGGATGGCCCATCATTTGAAGGAAGTTCCCTCCAAGGCTGGTGGCAGCTATTTTAATTTGTTGATATGCTTGCAAATTCAAATCTAAGTTGATTATTTGTGGCAGCAAAGGCACCTTCACTGAGTAACATGTCTTTTGTAAAGGCCATGTTGTCAGTGGCTTTGTGAGCAGCCTGCTCTGGGGACAGTTTGAATGTTTCCCTTCCACAATAAATTATCCCCTGTAGCTTCTTTCCAATCATTTGGTGCCATGACCAGTTTCTTAGACCTCTACACAACCCAAGGTAAAAAGAGCTCTAGGGCCATAGGTACTGGTCGCTTGTTTTAAGGTCATTTTTTCTTGTAAAATGTTAAAATGTACAGCTTCATGAAGACACAACTTTGTAACACATTATTGTGATCTGGGACTTCAGCAACAGCATAAAAACATGCTGAAAATCCTTCAGGGATTCTCCTGCCACCCTGGGTTCTCTTAGTACCAATTGTAAGGGATGAGTTTTTTCTTTGTTCCTTTTTTTTTTAAGTCTATTTAAGGAGCAAAAGAAAAAAAATAGAAAAAGAGTACAAGTTATACAAAATTTCAGAAAAAATAAACAGTAGGAAATCACTAGTTAATAGATTACATATTGTCATCCTAGAAATAGTTGTTCCAGTTACAAAATTAAAGCATATAAGGTGGACATTCAAACAGTGAGACTGCAAACAGTTCTGTTCAATGATCCAACAAAACTCAGTAATATGGTTATCTATCTTATATACTTAAATATACATGCAGTTATATCGTTTAGAGCACTTTCTTTTCCTCTCTTTTTTATAATGACAATTACACATTTTGCGTTTTATTACTCCCACCATTCTTATTATTTTTTTTGAACAGAATAAAACCAAATGTGACATAACAAAACAGAGTCAGTCAAATCAAAAGGATGGACATAATACATAATGTAAAAAAAAATACAAGTTGATCAACAATGGTTACCGTAATGCCTCTTGCTATCTTAAAAAGAATTGCCTATATCATCAGTAATAATAAAATTGAACAAAACAGTAAAGAACAAAACCGATAAAACCAAAACATTGGAGATACTACAGGACTTCAAAAGAAGATAATAGTCAAACCAGAATGGACATCATAGTGAATCTTATTGTCTTCACAGTTGTTGCCTATACTCTCAAACTTGGTACTATCAAGCAAAACAAAATAGAGGAAAATCAGTCAAAACTAGATGGTAAGAGCAATACAGGGTTTCAAATCAAGTTAATAGGAAATCAAAGTGGGTTACTATAATATATCCTGCTAATTTTTATTTATTTTTTCCCTTAATTAAAAAGATAAAAATAAATAATAAAAAAAGGAGATTAAGATAAAAGAGGACATAACAACAAAACAGCACAGGTCAGAACATAACCATTTAAGCAACATAGTGTTTCACCACAAGATATCCCGACATAAAAGTAATTACCATAGTGTCTCTTTCCTTGAAATCTTTGAGTATAACTTCGTATACTGTAGCATCAAACATATCAAGACAATGTAAAACCATTCAAGAGAATGACAGTATTCGAGCGTATTTAGAACCAACTAACAGAAAATGACGGGATGACTTTTTTCTATGAAGGGCAGAATTCTCAGCCTGTGACATGGGAAAAATATTTTGAACTCTAAGTGGAAGCAGTCACTTGTGGAGCGCTTCAGGTTATCAGTTTTATTTTGGGTGAGTGTGAAATGGAAGTCACAACAAAACACACTTCTAATGGGAAGGGGACTTCTTCAAACCTCCTCCACAGTTCCTTCCTTATTTGATGGAGCAAGGTAAGACGTTTCAAGCTCTATCAGGGGGCTGTTGCTTTTCAACAGCAAGCACAAACACCAAAACAACATCCAGGATTCAGAGGTAGATTTATTCCCATCAATGAGCAGTGATGGGATCGTTCCCAAACTGTCAGGCCCTCATCTCTGGTGGTCTAGGGCTTATGTCAAATGAACAAGGAGAAAATACAGAGCAAGAATGGCTCATCTTTTGGGGATTGGTTTGTACAGTGTGCTCCACAGTGACCAGCTGTTTCCAAGAGACCGGAGCAACCATAACTGGAACAGGAACAATAGGGCAATGAAAAAATGAAATATACTGGCTGGCATGACAGTACATTTTCTACTACAGTTTCACTATCCTCTTAATGCTTGGGGCTTAGTTTGAAGCCAGGCATGATGGCATATGCCTGTAATCCCAGCATTTTGGAGGCTGAGGCAGGAGGCTCACTGCAAGTTCAAGGCCAGCCTCAACTGCATAGTGAAATTCTGTCTCAAAAAGACAAAAAAAAAAAAAAAAGTAGTGCTTCATGTCAAATCCTCTGTGGTCTTCTCAACATGCTTATGATCATCGAGATAATCTGTGATCCAGGTCCACAACACAAAAATAAATACAGGAATCAATAATACAACAATACAATAAGCATTTCTATATACATCTGTTGTTTCTCAGAACCTGTCTGGCCCATGTTTTACACCTCATGATATGAATATTGAAAAACATCAACACACCGCTCTCAAAATTCATGTGGAGAGGACAGGGGACCATGAAAAAGTAAGCCAAGAGTCAGAACGTAGAAAGGTAAGATTCAGCAGAGCCTCCTTTTTTGGTGGAAGAGAAATAGTTGCACTGGGGAGGCCAAACTCAGTTAAATCTTCCTGCCTAGTAGCTTGTTTGTCTGGCTTGCCTTGGGCGCCATGTGTTCTTGGGCTGCAGCAGCTCACTTACATGGTTCACCTCAGGTGCTCTGAGTTCTCAGGACTGGCATTGCTTTAGCCCTGTACATTTGATCAACCTCCAGCTTCAGTTGCTCCCCACACATAATAGTTCATGAGTATTTTTCAATATCATTATTCAAAAATAAATACATAATTAAAACATATTTCTCTTGCCCTGAGAGTTGGCTTTGTCGGCGCTGCTGACCACAGGTAGATTGTCGCGAATGGAGATGAATGGCTGTCACTTCACCAAGAACAATGTTATTCTGCTTCCTGTATTGCTTATCCCCCAACTGGCCAGCTGAGATTCGTCCTTCTCATGTCAGAGGCACCAAAGACAGCAAACGGATACACAAAAGGGCTCTCATGGGCCACACTAGGAAATGGCTTGTAGTCACTTTCTTCCATCGAATAAAGCAAATCATAAGTCTGAGCCAAATGTCCAGGGAGTGCATTGGAAGACACTGGAAAGCTATGTGGCAACAGATGCAGGCACAGAGAGGTGTGAAGGTTTGGGCTCATCTCTGTAAACTGCCACGTATTTTTGGTCTGTGCTTCCTTCCTCAGGGTCAAAGCTGGGTGTTGGTTTATAACAACAGCACCTGTATATGAGAATTAGAGAAAGGACAAAAATAAAAACAATCACAAGAATCCCAAGAAACACGTGAAAATTGCTTTACACCCTGCTTTCTCCTTGGGGTAAGTTCCACGGGGAGACTAAGTCCCACAAATCACTTAACTAATGTTAAATAAGCAGTTCTTTGGTTGACAAACTCAATTTCTCACTTTTTTTTTTTCAAAGAGAAGTGTTGGTTCTTGCACAGATCTCACCAGGTGAGTCCATAAATGACTAAAAAGAACTGTATCACATAGAACAATTTTAAGAGGCAGCCCTGTATCACATTGGCAGAGTGCTTGCCTAGCACACTGTGTCACTTGCTGAAGGTGAATAGAGTCTGAACCAAGACAGAAAGAACCAGTAGTGAGTTATCCCACTGCAGCATGAAGTAGACATGAGCAAGCATGGGAGGGAATTCCCTTCTCTCAGCTGTGGGCCTGGTGTTCATCAGAATAACGCAGCCTGCACATAGTTCAAAGCTCTTGTCTGAGCTCACATGGTCAGGTTCAATGTAAAGTGACAAAAGAAGCTCCAGAATGTATCTTCACAGTGTCATAAACCAACACATGATGATCCCACAGCAAAGTTCTTCCCCAACACAACATCAGAGAGAAACACACACAACGCTTCCAACACACCAGCACCAACCCTCAAAACTTCCTGACCCCACCTACTGACCATGATCCTGAGGTTTTGGAGCCAACTCCAAAACGAAGGACTACACTTTCAGAGTCTGTTTTGACTTATGTCTAGACAAACCCCCAAAGTCTCATGGGACATGGAGCTTGTCCACAGGTGGCTTGATCTAGAGTGTGTGATTGATTCATGGCACAATGCTGGGATTGAAGATGTGTGATTACTAAATTAGTCCACTAATTCATTTGTCATAGCCCTAATCCCAGTAGCCTTTAGAGAGTAAAAAAGAAGCAGAAAAAAAGTAAAAGGGTGCTGAGGTCTCTGGGTGCTTTTGCTGCTTCTTCCCTCCAGGATCTGGGCTGTGCTGCCGAGCCACCTTCCTTGGAGCCACCAGTTATGGACTGAAACCTCAACAGACTGGGAGCAAAATACATCATTCTCTGTTTAACTCCAGGTGTCAAGCATCTTCTCTTAGGAGCAAGAAAAGTAACTAAGACAGGGCCCCTTACCTTGTCCAAATAAAACAAAAAATCATTATTAAAATCAGTCCGATAAAAGCTAAAAGAATCCAGATGTACTGTATCTCAGCTTCTGCAAAAAGGAAAGAGGAGAGAGAGAGAAGAATCAGGAAAAATCATTGGCAAAGGCCCAAAACACATCTCACAAAACAACTAACTCCAGTGAGACTTTTCTGTTTTCCTGTCAATAGTTCCCACCACCAACCCCACTTCACAGGTCTCAGCATCCCCTTTCCTATCACACACAACTCCTGCATCTGAGCACAGGGAGCCCCCAAATTACCACACACATCTCCCACATCTGAGTACAGGAACCCCCTTAACTTAGGAACATTCGAGTTGGAAATTTTTCCAGATCCAAAAGGACCTCACATTGTGAGCATTCATAGATGGGAACAAAGTGTGAGTGAGAAGTAGCTCATGTGTCTCCTGGATACCATCACAGTGGTGAGGTGACGGGACTTCCGGGAAGCCCAAGGTAACACCCGTGCAACCCCGGGTGTATCAGCTGTTGTGTTGTACTAGACCCTCACTGTAAGGTAGCTGTAAAAGTACAAATGTTGAATTCACAGTATTTGTGTGTTTGGGATTTTATGCTTTACACTGTATATTTCTGTCAAAGGTGTGTCACACTTACATTCTCAGACTTAGAAATGGATCAAACTTAAAAATATTCTCCCAAAACCAAATAGGCTTGTGAGTCAGGGACTCACTATACTGCACATTTGTCTCACAAGGCGGGTAGCATTAAACACCACATAACACACATGTGTCATTCACATGCAGCCAGCTTCTAGAACATGCCATCTCTTACCGTTTACATCAGTACTGCTCAGCAGAGGCCTTCCTCCCCTCACACAAAGCGTATTTCAGTTTCCCACTCTCTGGGTCCACACATACCTCACATGCCGTGCCTACAGATGTAGCCCAGTCTTTGTTTTAAGAACAGTGCACTTCTCCTTTAGTGTCACCCAAGGTCCAATACAGCTTGTCCCATTCACATTGCCTAGGGCTCCGAGCTCTCAGGAATATTCATTTCATCAAAGGTGTCCTCCCCCCTTAACGGCAGAGATATGAACTCGGCAACCAACACTTTAGCCCAAAAGCCCCAGCAGGAGGGAGGTTTTAGAAGTCCTGTTATCAAAGGATCAGGTATGTCTGCAGAGAGCCATGGGGATTTGTAGGATCACCCTTCTACAGCCTACTCAAGTTGGGACAGAACCTGTTAAGGATTACTCATTTGGACTCCATAAGATAGCAGTGTATAGTGGACCTGGAGCCTGAATAAAAGAGGTGCTGGTCCTCTTTCCCAAAAACCTCTTACCATCAGGGGACAAGGAAAAATCCCATCCCCATTTCCTTGCAGCTGACAAGCTCTCCAGTCCCAGCTACAAGGACCATCCAGAAACCTGAAGCTGCCATGACCTGGCAAGTAGCCCCGTCTCCACCTGATGACTACTACCACCCCTCTCCACCTACCTGGCCAAGCACCTGGACAGGGACTGAACTCAGACTGCTGCCCCTGGGGCTCAGTTAGGCCAGACTTCAGCTTGTTGCCTTAGCCCAAGTTTATCCTTTTCATCATAAAACATTAGCAAACACTTTAGACTGCCCAGAAACCAAAGTGCAGAGTGAAGAAATGTAAAAAGATGCTTACTTCTCACAAACAGTGTCCAGTTCAGCCTCTGGGAGGTATTCAAGGATATGTGGTCCACTACACAAGAGTAGGTGTCTTCCAGAGAGGCACTGAGTTTCAAGTAGCTGGTGATGTTAAAGGTACCATCCTCATTCACGATGATGGGATCAGTACAGATGTCTGTAGAAATCCTCTGGTCCTGGGAAACATTGTGGGTCCGCTTCTCCCATGTTATGTTAATGGCTTCTGGGTAGAACCCAAAGGACTGACACACAAGGTACATGTCATTACCAGTCCCCGTGGTCTGTTCCACAAACACTCTGCTGGTTGGTGCAGCTACCAGGGAAGAGAAGTCACACAGTTGAGCTCAGCACTAATTACACTTTTCTTCTCCTACATCAAACTAACTGGATTCTGCCACACCTACACATTAGCATCTCTCTCCCATAGCCGGGCAACCGAAAATCTGAAACCACGAGGGTCCGCTGTTTTCAGAGATGTACATTCAGAGGCAGAGATAATGCCTCAACCATGCTGAGCAATAAACTCAAAACTTACTGAGTTGCCACCACAGACTGGGAATTTCTGAACAAGAAGTAGGAAGTAACTGACCTCCAATTTGATATCTAGCCTGTGTTAGACTTCAAGGAAGGTGAGTAAACTGAATAGGACCTGGCTGAAGTTTAATAGTCTGGTTGAGGGTACCACAGCCAGCAAGATGTTGACACACTGTGACCTTGACAACATGCTCATCTTCAGCTGGGTGTAACACACTCACCTTTAAAGATCCATGATCAAGTCCTATTGCAAATAGGTGGCACTACATGAAATTCAACACTCGTATGCATACAATGCACATGGAAATTGGAGAGACACCTAGTTTCTACAGTCATTAATTTAAAATGGATCATAGATTTGAATAAATACAGAAGACAATGAAATGGCTCTAAGTGATCACAGGAGAAAATCCAGTGGCCTTGAATTTCAAACACAGGTGAAGGCAGGGAAGTAACTGCATGAGAGTGCAAACCCAGCATGCATGGGGCACTGGCTGTAATTGCAATGGTGCCAAAACACAAAATTATTGAGTAGAATGCCAGAACATGAAGCATGAAAGAAAAAGCTGATTAAGTTTCCACTTAGTAAAATTAAGAACTACTAAAAGAAATGTGGTACTCTACATGGCATCTTGGCACAAAAAAAGCATACTGAGTCACAGTTAAAATACTCTTACTGACTTCCGGAAGAACATGGCAGGTAGATAGCAGCAGCTACTGAGGCTCTCTGAGATACCCCGCTTAAAATCCAGGAATGGTTCAGTACGAGGAGTCCTAACCAAGGGGAAATACACCCTGCCGGCCCAGGAATGAACTAAGCTAAGAGAAACCAACTGGAACTCCAATGCTGGTGCTATAACAGGAACAGATAAAATCTCAGAGCAGAAGCTAGAACCCGTGCCACTGGAAGCCGCAATTTGAATTTCCTGCTGCCGCTGCTGGATCCAAATCTGCTGGACAGGGAGAGAGACGTGCGAAAGCTCTCAGAGAGGGAATCTGCAAACAGAGTTGAGAGCGGGACTAGCAGGGAGCCCTACATCGACTTGCGGTGAGTGAGCAGATTGGGGACCCTTGCATAGACTAGGAGGCTCCAGCAAAGGACATACTGGGATAGGGAAGACTTGCTGGAACAGGGTGCTGCAGTGACTTTAGTCGCATATTCCCCCTTAAGGCGGGATTGGTGGGAAGTGGCTGGCATGCGTGTCGCCACTGACTAAGACCCAGTAGGCTAGCCCAAACCAGGTCCCAGCACCTAGAGGTGCACCCTAGCAGTAAAGCCTTTGGTAGGTTGACCTGGAGGGGTGGGCACAGCAGAGGCTGCCCAGGTCTATGTCTCCCTAGTACACTGCAGTGGGCAGGAATGCCTAGCCGGCACAATTCAAACGAAATGTAACCGACAAAGAGAAAAAATTTGGGCCTCCTACATTCGCTTGTATGGAAGGAACAAAAAGTATGGGAAGAGAAAGCAACAAGAAAGGGTCCTCAGTCCCCAATCCTGAGAACACTGGTCTAGGAAAAGGAAATGCAAAGGAAGACAGAAAACATGCAATATCAAACATGGCACCAATAGACAAAAAGCGATATCTCCAGAGCCTCATAGATGAGTTTAAAAATGAAACATTTAATGAAATAAAGCAAGATATAAGTAGAATAGTTAGAGAAATGCTAAGCACTGCCCAAGAAAAAATAGATGGTGGAATCGAAGAACAGAAAAAAAGGGGAGAATTGTTTGATGGAGAAAATAGAGAAAACATAGAATACATGAAGCAGGTTCAAAGAGATTACCAGGAAACTAAAAACTCAATTGAAAACTGGCATAACAGCTTGAAAGAAACTAAGGATAGATTATCTGAACGGGAGGGCAGATTTGTAATATGGGAGCATGAAATGAAAAACTTCTTAAAAATAACAAAAAAACAAACAGCAATAATACAAAGACTAGAAGATGGTAAGAGGATCTATAACTTAAGAACATAAAAGAAGAAGTAGGGACACAAACAAATGGACTACAAAAGCTATTCACAGAAATAATCCAAGAGAATTTCCCTAATTCAGCAAAAGGTAAAAATACTCAGATGTATGAGGCATACAAGGCCCCAGCCACCTACAACCCAAACAGAGCTACACCCAGGCATGTAATAATCAAAATTCCACAAATCCAATATAAGAACAGAATACTAAAAGCCATCAGAGACAAGAAACAGATCACTTACAAGGGAACACCCATCAGAATTACAGCAGACTTCTCGGCACAAACCATCAAATCATGAAGAGCGTGGGGGGAAATAATTCAAGCTTTGAAAGATAACAACCGCCAGCCAAGATTGATATATCCTGCACAATTGTCCCTAGAAATTGATGGAAAAACAAGGTGCTTCCAGGATAAAGAGGAACTAGGGGAATTTGCAACCACCAATTCAACTCTACAGAGAATACTGCAGGATATTCTAAAAAAGGAAAATACCAAGATTTCAGAAACAGTGGCAGAGAGGCCACAATGAATGGAGCAGAAAATGAAATGAAGAAGACAAACTGACAACAAACGACAGAAAAAGAGCTCAACAAAAATGAGACAGAGAAGATTGGATGGTATGAACAGCTATTTTGGAGAAAACAAGACATCATAATAGCTAGTGCTGATTTAGTATCATCTTGCTTTGAAGTCCCATCAAGCTTTTATTCTTCTGTCTCCATCGGTCTTAACAGGTTGTATCTTATTAGATTTTATTATATGTGATAATATAAGCAAAAACTTTTATAGACAAGGAGATTATACAGAAACCATTGTTCATTTTCTGATAGGCGGTTCTAAATACCCTGTAATACTATCATTCTCTTGAATGGTTTTACATTGTCTTGATATGTTTGGTGCTACAGTACACGAAGTTATACTCAAAGATTTCAAGGAAACAGACACTATGGTAACTACTTTTATACCAGGATATCTTGTGATGAAACACTATTTTGCTTAAATGGTTATGCTTTGACCTGTGCTGTTTTGTTGTTATGCACTCTTTTATCTGTCTCCTTTTTTTTAATTATTTACTTTTTTATTTTTAATTAAGGGAAAAATAAAAAATAGCAGGATACATTAAAGTAACCCACTTTGACTTCCTATTAACTTGATTTGAAACCCTGTATAGCCCTCACCAGCTTGCTTTGACTAATTTTCTTCTATTCTGCTTTGCTTAATAGTAACAAGTTCGAAAGTATAGGCAAAACTGTAAAGGCAATAAGATTCATTATACGCCCATTCCGGTTGACTATTATCTTCTTTTAAAGTCCTGTAATGTTTCCAATGCTTTGGTTTTATTCTTTATTGTTTTGTTCAATTTTATCATAACTGATGATATAGGCAATTCTTTTTAAGATACAAGAGGCAGTATGGTAACCATTGTTGATCACCTAGTATTTTGTTTTTGTTTTTACATTATCTATTATGTCCATCCTTTTGATTTGACTGACTCTATTCTGTTATGTCACATTTGGTTTTACTCTCTTAAAAAAAAGTAATAAAAACTGTGGGAGTAATAAAACCCAAAATGTGTAATTGTCATTGTACAAAAGAAAGGAAAAGAAAGTGCTCTAAAGAATATAACTACATATATTTAAGTGTATAAGATAGATAACTATATTACTGAATTTTGTTGGATCACTGAACAAAACTGTTTCCAGTCTCACTGTTTGAAAGTCCACTTTATATGCTTTAATTTTGTAATTTTGTAATTTCTAAGATAACAATATGTAATCTATTAACTAGTGATTTCCTGCTGTTTATTTTTTCTGAAATTCTGTATAACTTGTACCGTTTTTCTGGGGTTTTTTTTATTCTTTTTCTCCTTAAATAAAAACAAATACTCTTAAACTGTGGACATTATTGAACACTATTTTTTCAATATTGGTACATCAGTTTTATCAATTGTGTTGTTAATGATGAGGTAAGTGGAGCATAGTGATGGGACTAAATTGAGAACCTCCTGAATTTTTCTTCTTTTTTTTTCCTAGATTTTCAATATTTTGGTGCAGAAGAGTAAAACCAGAGCTTCCAGCTTGCTAGGCAAGTATTCTACTGTTGAGCTAAATTCTCAGCTCTCCAATGAATTATCTTACTATTCTATTAACTTTTAAAAGCCACAGTTATTGAGGGATTTCTGTAAGCTGCAGAATAAATGAACTCTAATGAACCTACATTTGCAACTACAGTGTTAATACATATGAAACACTCAAAGATCTATGTACAAGGATGGAGGGTTTAAAATCCTACTCTTCTGTTATGGAGTCACTTTAGGTACCCCAAAAATCTACATGAACTCCCAGAGTTCCTACTATTTCTGAATCAGGCTATTTGGGCATAGAGTCTGTAAAGAAATAATAAAAAATAAAAAAAAAAGCAAAAGCAAAAAAAAAATCTTCCTGTGAAGAATTCCAAATAAATCACAGAACTACTGTATCCCAAAGAGAAAGCAGTGTACCTCCTTAAGTGAGGTCACACATAGTGACTTCCTCTCAAGAACTAGAGCACAGAAGTGGAGAGGAAGAAAAGCTTAACAGTGTAGGAGCCAGGCACATAGGATGCACCCAGGAGGTCAAGGGCGACAAGGAGAGTCATGAATTATGTGACTGAACGAGGGCTGCAAACTCCATTTACCCGTGATCACCCTCCAAAATCCAAACCCAGTCACATTATAAGTGCAGCAAACAAACTCCAAGAGGGTGGCTCCTACAACAGCTCGACCACTGCTGCTCAAACTGTCAAGGACATCAAAATCCAGAAAAGTC